AAGCTGTGACCAAAATCAGCCCTGAGATGGACAGTGCAAGCTTGGTGCATTACAGCAGGTCGTCCATATCTGCAGGCAATCGGTTGCAAGCCCTTCACCGCGGATACTGGAACAAGCAGATTACAGCAAACATAATGTGGTCTCTGGCTCTTGCTAGTGGCCAGTTCTGGTAACTACTAGTCTTTAGAAATATGTGTTTCTATGATTTTCATTTTTAATATTTTCAGACTGTGGATAAATGAATCAGTGGATATTTATCCCACAGATCAGGGGGTCCTGCTGTACTGGCTAGATATGAAGGCAGCTCATTATCTCTAGTAATGCCTGATGAAAAGAAGACTATTATATTTCCATTAAAACATAAGGCAAGCGAAATCATGATTTCCCCTTAATCTTTTCTCCTTTGGACTGAACGTACTGCTTCCTTTTAAACGAGCAATGTACAGATTTCTGTATTTTTTAAAACTACGACTCCCAGAATTCCCCTGGCACCACGGCTTCCCATGGCATCCTGGGAGCTAAAGTCCGATGAACAGAAACCTGCACAGCTCTGTTGTTCACCTTACCTTGCAGATTTTGGTTTCCCCTTCCGTAGGTGAGCAAACTACAGCTCCCACGCTGCCCCGTGGCATTCTGGAAGTTGTAGTAACTTCCCTCCCATCACGGTACCTGTCCACCTCTGGACAGCCTGCCATGCTCCATCATCACCCTTCTGAAAAGCAGACCGTCTCCAACCACATCTGATGGGACCGTACCTTTTGATAATGGACCTGCATCATCCTGCTGTCGTGCTGAGCCATTGAGGGGTTGACAGAGGCCCCTCTGTTGAGAAGACCTTGGCAGAAGCTGTTGGAAACTTTTAAAAAGAGAGAGAGAGAGGCACCAATATTAGCATTTTACGACCACTTCCATTCAGTATATGTGGACTGCCTTGTAGAGAGAATACAATTCTGATATTTGTATTTATTTACTAGCCTAGCTTTTGTCCACTAAGGCTCCAGTGCATCAAGGCAGGGTGACTGAGGTTTTGACCCTGGGTGTCAAAATTCAGAGGGTGCTGGAGGGTTGAAAAACTACCCATTTTCAGAATGTATACTACTGGGGATATGTCGTTCAGATTTTTTTGAACCCTCTCCAAAAATTCCCTTTGCAGAATCCTAGGACTTCCGGCTCAGGGACCCACACCTCTAGGCCCCTACGTTTTTGCTCACCTGAACTAGGGCCTACCTCTGAGGCTGCATGGCTGTTTCAAGTCTTGCCACCGTGCTTTCCGGGAGTCATAGACTTGCTACCCTTTAGACTCTTGCCTCCCAAAGAACTACAAGTCCCAGGAACTACTACTGCGGCAGCTTCTTCTTCTTCTTGTGTACATGACGAACAGGAAGCAAAGCCAGCGCTAGGCCCTGCAGCCTTAGAGGCAGGCCCTGGCCCAGGCCAGCGGTGATTGAAGCTTAATTACTTGGATAGCAACAAAATCAGTAGCTATGGCTGTATTGGACATGATCCTCTCCCTGTTTATACAGTACTCTCAAAACAATCTTGTGATGTAGGGAAGGCCAAAAATGAGTGTACTGGCCAAGGCCATTTGAGGTTTATTGACTTTGTGGAGATTAAAATTCCCAGGTCCTGATCTGTTGGAAGTTTTGCACATGCGGTCTTAATATTTTTGGTTGAGAGGGACCTTTCTGAGTTGGAGCAACTGTCAATCTATCTAGCACGAACCAATCATTCCTTCCCTGCCTCTGATTTAAAAGAAAGCCCCGCCTCTCTGCTCGGTGTCTCTTTCTGTTGTCGAAAGCAGTCATATTTGTCAGTTGGCTATTTGATTTGTTCAATCGTAAGTAATGAAACTATTTTTTCTCATACTGTTGTCCGAGAGTGAGTTACAGTATTAAGATTGTAAGTGTCAGTTAATCATAAAAGGGGTGGGCTGCTGTGGGGAGCTTGAAGCTGCTTAAGGAATCCCTGCAATTCTGCTGTGCTGCTAAAGAAATTTAACCAAAAGTTCAAAACCGCAACACGATCCAAGGCTATAACCCTTACGCCAATCAACCCGCAACATGAGCCAAGGCTATAACCCTTACGCCAATCAACCTTGCTTCCTTTGGCAAGTAACTCATTCCAAAAAACTAGTTACCTTCTATTAATTACTTTTTACAGGAACTAAGTCAGCATGAAGCTCTGGGCATCCCATGCTCTTGCAGCAACAAAGACAGGCAGTATATAAAACACAGCCCCAGAGACTGAGTTTCTGGAGACCCACTAGCCATGTGGCCTCTGGGGAGACATCATCATCATCATCCAGCATACATACTGTGCCGATATTTAACAGATGTACAGTACTTTGGGTTTTTTTGGTTGAAACTTGTATCTGTTATATATCAGTACTTCGGTTTTTTGGTAGAAACTTGTATCTGTTATATAATAAGAGTCAATATTTTTATAATTTTTATTGACACGGGGCCTGGTGTTTATGAATAACGAGGATGAGGGAGTCAATATTTTTATAATTTTGATTGACATGGTGCCTGGTGTTTATGAATAACGAGGATGAGGATGATGTGCAGTCAAGCCAACTTTGATTTACGGGTGACCCTTTCCAGGGTTTCCCAGGTAGATAAAAGGTTTGCCATTCCCTTCTTCTGGGGGCGGCAGGGAGGGGCTCCGGGGAAGGATCACTGCGCAGTTCGCCCGAGGACACCCAAGGCTAGCCCTGCAGGAATCAAACTTCCAACCTCTGGCTCAGCAGCCAGAGACCAAAACCCCCCAGAGCTATCCGGTCGGCTATGGGGAGAATCAGGGTCTGGCAATCTCCACCTAGGGAAGTCAACATAGAAGCTGAACTCCCATGGACAGAAGCAAATAAACCAGTCATCCCTTTAACTAACCCGAGAATGTGAGCACAGAGGTCTTACTTTCCAGAGGGTACAAAAGCCAGAAGATCCACCAGGAAAGTTGGCTTCTCTATGCCGCCTTCTCCTCCTCGCTCTGGATAGCTGGTAGAGAAAACTGCCCGCTTGGCTGGGCGAGCTCCCCCCGTTATTCTGGCTCATCTCTTTCAGCGAAGCCCTACCCATCCGCTCAAGCCACGTACTTTGGGCTCCTCATTGTTGCACGGACGGCCTTTGCGGCTCCATTCTTTGCCTGGGAGCAGGTGCAGGCCAGGCAGGAGTCAACAACGCGCACCTGCGGGTGCAGCTAAGGCACGGTATGCGCCCCCCTCTCAAGGCGCCCTCCTCTGACCCAGCAGAAGCAGCTCATCCGTCATGCCAGCTCTTCTGCAGAGGGACCTCGGCAAAGATGGAAAAGCCAGCCGAAGAGTCGTGTGCTACCTAGAAGTCTAACACACTTTACCTGGCACAAACGCGGGTGGAGTCGGTCGCTTTTAACTCAGATGCAAAAAGGGCTCCTTATCTTACCTGTGACTTTGGTTTTATTTCTCGGACGGCCAGAATCTTGTCGGTGTTCAGGTAAAGCTGGTGATAACTTCCAGCGGCTCATGGTTGAGAGGCTGGGGCCACATCTTAGATCCACTATCGGTCACATAGACAGGCATGGGACCAAGATGCTCCTTGCTAATTAGCCACAATTAGCTGTGGCAAGTGGATATAAACCTTTGGTGAACACCAATACGATTGGGGCTGATGTGGCAGTTGCTATGCGAAAGTAAGACACAATTAGAGTAGGCCTATTTGATTCAGTGGAGCTGGCTCACCAAATCCCCATCAGTGCAGTGGGCCTACTCTAGGGCAATTTGCTACCCTAAGCAATCTGTGTCGGGCCACTGAATCAGTGGCTGAACAGTGAAATCAATATTTACATAAATTCCATTGAGTCAGTGGATCTATACTATTCCTTTACGTGCCATCAAGTTGCCCTTGACTCATGGGGACCCCACTGAATGAGCCCTCTCTAAAATGCCCTGTCCTCCACAGCCCCCCTTTCCCCCCAGTAAGATGAGATTGAAAAGCAGCCATTGGACAGCAGAAAAACTTATGATGCGCAGGGGCCTCTTGGCTAGCGTCCATGACCTCAGTCAGTAGCTTCCCTTCGACTCTGGAAGAGTTTTGCCGAGAGAATACTTGTTGGATTTGCTTGTGGGTTTCTCCTCCAGTGTGCAAGTAGTAGGATGGCCATGCTAACCCACATATGTAATTTGGGGGTATCAGTGGGATAGCCCCAAAGATTCAGGAGCGGCTGCTGAGCCAGTGTTTGATTGGACAGGACATATATTTGTAATGCAAGCATCAAACCCGGGTTCTTGCTGTGGGCGACTCCTTTTGATTCGTTTGTTGGGGGAGCAGGTAACAAAGATGTATGAGATGAGAAATGTCTTGGTGTTTCTGAGAATCCCTTCCTTTTCCCACCGTAAGGGGGTCTTCGTCTCTTCACCAACGTGAAGTGGGGCCAGATCTAAGCGAAGGAGGATCCCACTTCCAGAAACGAATTGCACGCCACCTCACTTGAGGACCGGAGTCTGCTGTTCAGACACCACTCACCTCACACACCTCCGAATTGAATAACAAACCCACCTCCACACCCCCCACGGGGATCTACTGTAATACCAAAAGCAGTCCGAGATGATTTGGGAGGTCCACCTGGACATCTCGTTTGAGAAGCCTACCAGGAGCCTGGCAGAGTTTATGGCCCGGCTCTCTCGCTTGACTGCGCTCCCAGAAATGCTTTCACCTTTCCTCTACTCGTCTCTTGCGCCCAGGTTGGCTTCATTTTTTTTTAAACACGAGACAGGATTGTGTAATTGTGCAACTTTTGGATTGCTCCAGGAGAAAACCTCGGATCGACCTCCTTATCCTCCTGATTGCTTTTTTAAAAAAAACATCTTGGTAGGGCAACGATCCAAGTCAAGGGTTCCGCTCCGGGTACAGAGGACGAAGGAGCACATGGCGTCTTGCCGATCCTTCTGAGGAACCCTTTGATGCCCGTCCACCTTTCACTCACACACACACCCAGCAACCACACCCTGGCACCTCTTCACCCACGCACACACCTGTCCAGCCATGCCTCTGATCTCTCCACCTTCTTGGCTCTGCGGAGACAAGAGGCCGGTGATGGTCTGGGGTTGGCGAAGCAGGAGATCATTGGCTCAAGGGCAGAGAGGCGGTGCAGAGCCCAGGCGCTCCGCCATCCCCAGTTTGCTGGCTGGCAGGAAGAGAAGAGGACAAGGGTTTCGAAAGGCAAAGTTCATCCGGTGTCAGGGTGGACTTTTAACAGCCGACGTCAGCCCGGTTGTGCAAAACAGCAAGAGCAGTTGCTGAGAACGACCACAAAAACCTCTAGATTACCACCTCTCCATAGGTCAGTGGCATGTTTTGGTTTTTTTCTTTCTCTTTTCTTCTTGTTACGTGCCATCAGGTCCAACTTTGGGTGACCCCCAGGAATGATCACTCTCCCAAAGGTCCTGTCCTCCAGAAACTCAACCTCTTGCAAATCCAACCCGGTGGCTTCCTGTAGGGAGCCCATCCCTCTCATATTGGGTCTTCCTCTTTCCCTACTGCCTTCCCCCTTTCCCAGCATGATGGTCTTGCCTTCTCAGGATGGGCCCAAAGTACAACAGCCTCAGCATCAACATTTTTGCCTCCGAAGAAAGTTCAGGCTTGATTTGCTCCAGGACCCGCTTCTTCCTCTTTCTGGCAATCCGGCGCATCTGCAAGGCTCTCCTCCAGCACCACATTTCAAAGAAATCCGTTTCCCTCCTGTCAGCTTTCTTCACTGTCTAGCTTTCACATCCCTACCCAGGGATCTGAAATTCAAGAGCGTGGAGGGTCATGGTCTCCTGTGAGAGAGCCTTGCCCTTTCTTGAAATAGAGCTTAATGACATTTTGTTCCTGTAATTTTTTTTCTCTGTGGGATGTCAGCACTGCTGAAGATTAGAGGTGTTTTTTGGACCTCAAAGAGTTTTGTGTTTCTGGCAGCCCCATCCTTGGTCCTTCATTGTCCCTGGAAGCAAACTCCCCCCCCAAAACTTAGAGGGGAGAAAAGCTTTTCCCCAATTCTCAAAACCCAAGTCTAGTCAACCTGGCCAGAGGACGCCAGAGGTAGTGGCGTTTTTAATACTCTTTAAAAACCCACATCCTTTCCCAATTTCTGGGCCAACCACACACTTTTCAACCTTTAATTACACATTTAAATGAGATCTTTAATGCTGTCTTCAACATTGAAAGCAGAATGTGACTTGTCATGCCCCTGTGTACACTGGCGTGCAGGCAAGGAATGTTTTCTGTCATGTTAACATCTCTGCACCTTGTCAAGGAAGTAATCAATGATTGCATCACTTAAGTATACATAGAAGTATATCAGTTTACATATAAGGGGCAAGAGATTGCATTATATATGCTCTCCTGGGTAAATACTGATATCCAGGATATAAAATATATGCCTCTACAAACTAGCCAGGAAGCAGCCTCTGCTGAGCGTTTTTTGGCATTACATTATTCCAGATTTTCTAGTGTTGTATGCTCTTTTTTTGGAAAAAAAAATGATTTTAGAGACTGTAGTGGATCTGATTTTTAAAAGGATATGTGACATGTTTTTTTAAAAGTGTGATAAATCTGCTTTTAAACTCCATTGATTGCGTCCGTTGAGAACATCCGAGGACACCTGCATAGCCTCGTACGCCGCCAAGCTCGTTGCCAGCCCTTCTGCGCAGGCGCGGGTCATTTAAGGGGAACACCCTCCCACCGCCTAGGAGCCGGACTGGAATGTACCATTATGTGCCCGGCGGGGGGGGGAACGATTGCCGAGGGGAAGCCGTGCCTGTCCCTTCCTCGCGTCCAACGAGGGGCAAAGGGGGGAAAAAGAGCGTGGCGTTGCTGTGGAGAGACTGAGGAGGAAAGAGGCGGGGCAAGGGGAGGAGTTGGGACGGCTCGGCCCCT